TTATGAGGTATTTAATAAAACAATTTATGGAGAAATCTATCAGCAAATTAAGATGCCTATTGGTTTCATCCTCTTAGCCTCAATATTCAGCGCATGGATTTTAGCCTACCCGGAAAATAGCTTCCATTTGAGCCTTTTAGTGAATTCTTTTCTTTTTATATTCTGCACCTGCAGGAACATCAATCTGAGTATTAGAGTATAGCCAAATTATGTCAATCATATGATAAGCTCAACTTATTGCTTTTTTATCACGTTTCCTTACCAACTTGTCTACTAGGAAGTTTTGATTGTCGGTGGTGTTGCCTGCAATCTCCGACTACAAGAGATGATGGGAATCATGGCTGCTGAGCGTGGCGCCAGACTATATGCGACTGATGAGCGCTTCTGCATTGATAACGGCGCAATGATTGCTCACACTGGATACAAAATGTTTTGCAGTAACCTTATAACTTCTTTCGACGATGCAATCGTGATGCAGCGATTCAGAACAGATGATGTTGAGGTTACCTGGCGAGATGACTAGCTTCTTTAATATATTTGCTTATTGCCCTAAACAAGTGCACTCTTTTGGCAAATATTGTTTATTTAGACTATTCAACCCCCAAGCCAGAAGTAATTTCGAATAGGATTGCTAACGTAAGAGCCATTAGGTTGATGACGGAGTCAGTTTGAACCTTTTATTTTAAGCTTTCGGCGTAATTTTAGTTGAGGTCGCAATTGAGGTAGAGTTCGTGATAGCCGTTGATTTCATTTTCATGTTATGTAAGACTAGCCTTCTACACTAAATGCCGCAGTCCTTTAATTAGGGAAACATTCCTTCCCTACCTCTACATTAATCTTAGACGCTTCAAGCTTACTGCTAATTTGGTATATTATAGACCGAAAAATTTGCTTTCCTATCATGCTACATCCTACCATCTGGTTTTGTTATAAATGGGGGGAGTTCAAAAAGAGTATATTAAAACCCAGATTGTGTAGCCTCAGGCTTGGTCGTGGTCTCCTTTGATTCTTCATCATCGGTGGAATGAAAGAAAATCGGTAAAATATCTGGATATAGGGAATAAACATATGCATGTTGGATGGAAGGTCACCTTGACCATAGCTTACCCACACAGTCGCATCTGCGGGCAACTAAGCTATGAAAATATGATAAAGAGAACGTAAACCCTTAATTGTAGATATAAAGAAAAATATGTTTTCTTCCAGTCTTCTTAAGCTGTGTATTGTCGGCTTGACCTCGTTTTCGCAACTTGGTCGGAGTGACAGGGAGACCTCGTGGAACGTACCAAGTCTTGCATCCTATCCTAGTGTCTATGATGATTTCCAGCATCGTACTGTTGACTTAAGAGATTCACATGAAACTTTTAATACTTAAGATGATCCGATATTTAAGACATGAATAGATCGTGAAGGACGGATTCAGGCTCATAGATCAAGTTTGATATTTCGTTGTAAATAAATGAGCCAGAGAGCAGAGAGCAAATCTAATCGGACATAGGCTTTCCTTATTCGTAAGTGGTATTTTATGTTTTAAGCAACCCATGCCGACTTTATCTGCATATTATTTTACAACTTCAAATAGGTTTTGGCCACTGTAATGTGATTTCGACACATATACGGTCATAATATCCACCACTCTGGAATATCTGCTTTGAGTATTATGCCCAGTTCTCGGTAAAAACATAAAATAAACGAAAATTACAGCTCAGATCAGGGTTGGACCTTTTAAAAAAAATTAAGAGTCAGGGCCTGAAAGTGCTTCACAACAACTCTAAATAACGATCGTTTCAAGACCTGACACCTTGCCGGGCCGGACGTAAGTCTTGGCATCCTATTATACTATTTTAAGAGTGAATCCTTTCTATGCCCGATAAGCATTAAGCGAGGTCTTGAGCCTTTAGATTTAACTTAATGATGATAGGGAAAATCTGAAAATGCCTGATTGGTATATCCTATATCGCTAACATAGGCGCAGAGTATATCACATAGGAATCCCAATCGATCTCAAACTTCTCAGTTTGTTTGGAGGCTGTGCACTAGCATAGGTAGTCATGTTTTTTATGAAATTAAAGATATTCGAATAAAAAATTCATGTATATATTATCAACAATATGAATGCTGACAAATTATGCTCCACATAGACAGTCGTTAACGCCGAATTCTTCTCTGTAAGTTGTGACGCTTACGACGCTGAGCAATATTATCATGATGCTTTTGCTTGTTCTCAAAGTATTTGTCCTGTCCAGACATGTCAATTTTGCTCTTAGAAAGACATTTAAGAAAATCAGCGTATGGAATGGAATCTAAAAAGATTAAAGCAAAAATCCGATGTAAAGCATGAAAAACATATCACTCAGAAGATGCGATGCTCCACAGACTTAACATATATCAAGGCAGAAGATCTATCATATAATTCAAAAACAAAATTAGTTAAAAGAAAAAATTGAAGGCCATTAAAATCGATAAAGCGTGAAATCTGTTTTATTAGTCTGGAAGCAAAACTACTGAAATGTTGGCGTTTTAGGATCGCAGAATTGGCATTTAAAAAGAAACATGAGAAAATATAAAAATCGAATTCTATTAATTTTATTTAATATGAAAAAAATGGCCCAAATCAAGATTCTTACCAGGTATGTCCAAAAATTCCTTGTCGTCAAGGCAGTCATAAGATTCTGCCTAAATGATAAAAAGGATGAGTAGTACTTTGCTTTTTTTAAATCAACACAAGTCTAGCCCTGGAGGTAAGGGAAAACAAATAATGCTGATAATAGTGAAAAGAGGTTGATCCAACTGACCGGAATAAATTTATGGCAACAATCAGTCGCATTATCCAAGGAAGGACATTGTTATATTGTCGATGGCCTGGGTCATAGCAAATTAAGTGACAAAAATAATATACAACCCCTCGGAAACGATAAGATTTTTAAACTAAGGATTCTGGCCATCATAGGTCATACGAAGCAATGATGGTGGAATTTTCCCACGATTCTATCGAATTTCACTTAGCTTTGCTTCCTAAAAGGTATTTTTATCCAGACTGGACTGCAGTTTCGGCATCGCATACATCTCATCAGCACCCCCAATGGAACTAGAGCCCGGGAAATGCAGAATATAATCTCGACACGTTACTACAAATGCCCTAGGTCGTAGAGCGAACGTGAATTTCACGGAAGTCTAGGCTTTTATGTTATAATAATAGTGGGAATTTTAACGAGGCAAAATTGCGTTTTGCCATTTAAATCGATTGCATTACTCATGTCTATAAAAAGTAGATTTTTAAGACTTCTCTTAGCATAAACAATGGCAGAATAAAAGTCTGCCTCTTCGACATTCACACCATAATGTTAGAGTACCTTTCATTTCGTTTGAAGAGGCGAGTGGAAGGGATTCGTAAGTTGGTCTCATCGGAAGCTGTAGGGGGATTGCCTTTGAGTTGTGATTGTAGATTTGTGCGAATAGGTCCTCGGCTCACCGCCATTCGACCCCGATGAATCCTTGCTCAGCTTTTGTGCGTCGTGACGGATATCGTCAGAACACGACACCATGCATAATTAGAATGTACTAAAGGCACGAAGACAATAAGGGTGGCCGATTTCAAACCTTTCTTGCCTTCAAGGATTCATCGGGGTCGAATGGCGATGCGCCGAGGACATATTCGCACAAATATACGATCACAGCTAAAGGTAATCCCCCTAAAGCTTCCGATTAGACCAATTTACGAATCTAGTAGGCTCGCTTTTTCAAACGAAATGAAGGTTACTCCAACATCACAATAGTAAGGGGTTCTCCGAAGCCCAGTTTTTCTACATTCCCACCATAAGTTTGATATGAAAAAAACCTTACCTTCCAATGAAATTCACGTCTTTCTTGTGGCTCAGAGGCACTCGTGGTGGTAACGTGTCGAGATTATACGCTTGCCGCAATAGTTTAATCAACCTCGCATATATAGGCTTAGTCAAGAAGGATTGAGGCTGCTAGCTTTATTACAAATACCATCTGAATGCAGCTAGAGTATGCTGATGTCTTGTGAACGATGTATTTCCTAACAAATATTTTATCATGCAGTGTCTGATTAAAGAAATTACCTAAAACTTTGTAACAACTCTCGCATATAAAAGCTTGGAATACCATATAGAAATATTATTTGATAAATTAAAAATAGCAGAAGTCCATGCTTACTTCAATCAATCTCAGTGAAGTGTCCTCTTTTAATTTCCAACATTTTAATTTATATGGTTTGTTGATGGGCATCCCGACCAATTTTGCCACTTCATTTGATCCACTCGGTGGGACAAGTATATGATCAATTAAAGGCTGTGTATGTATTAATGTTCGATGTGAAAGAAAATTATAGGTGGATTCTTGGATGCTTGGAATGATTCGGAATATTAATATGATTGGATAGCTGAAATGGAAAGAATAAATCCACTAAAAAATTAAATTT